GATATAGTAGTAGGAACTCCCTGCATTGTTTCCTCAATTTGCTCTGAGTCTGCTGTGGTGAACATCTGTTTATAGTATCTGCATATTTCCTCCATCACTTCCTGCTCAGTCTTGCACCAATCTCTATTGTCCTTTTGCAAACTTGTGATTTTTCTTTGTTTTCTCGCAGCCATTACACTAGCATGGAAGAACGCAGTGTTCTTGTCTCCTTTCTATAGCCACCTAGTCCTTGCCTTTTGGCTCCAGTAGAGTTCCTCCTCTCGATATGCTTTACTGAGTTGCAGCTTCATGTCTGCTAATTGTCCCCTTCTTCCTGAATTGTTGTTGTTCCTTATTTCCTGCATTTTCTCCTTTATATGTTTAATCTTCTCCCCAGAATTTAGGCTGTTGCTCATTTTCCATGTTAAAAGAGCCATTCTGTACTCTTTTATCTGCCTTGCCACCTTGAACATTCTTGATCCTTAATGTATAGTTTCCCATGCTCTTTCTATTATCCCTTTGGTTTCCTCATTCCTGGCCCATCTCTGATCAAAGTAGAATCTTCTTTTTACTTTCTTCTGATTGGGATTAGTATCCAATATGAGCATACTATGATTTGATGCTTCATTTTCCAGATGGCTACACATAGCTCTTTCAAAAAGTTGATACCAGCTCACATTTGCAAGGCATCTATCCAGTCTTTCATTTACTCCCCTTCATCTTCCCACTGATTGCACCAGATCCAGGGTTTGCCTTCAAACCTATATCTACCAACTCATTTTCCCTGATGAACCTATTAAACTCATTAAAACTGCTCTCATGTCTCCTTCTCCCTCCCTATTTTTCATCCCCAGACCTTATATCGTTAAAATCCCCTACCATTACCCAATGTTCCCCCCCACTCCTTCTTTTTTGGCTCTATAGTCCTCCATTGTTCCTTTCGGATATTCTCATCTGTGCTAGCATATATTCCCACCAGCCATCATACACACCTTGACTTTGTGTCATTTATTTTAACCTCTATGAAGAAACTCTCTTTATTTATGCTCACCACTTCTACCTCTTCCTTCCAAAACATTGCAAGTCCCCCTGCTTTACCACTAGAGTTTACCACATGGCATTGATCAAACTTAATCTATTTTTGGACCTTTTCCATTACTATTTTTTGGTTTTTTGTCTCAGACAAGAAAATAATGCTTGGAAAGTGGAGATTTATCACCTTCTTTAGTTGGGAATTGTCAAGGGTCCTCCCACACCTCGACAATTCCACACCAGGACCTTCATTTGCACTATGGAGTCTTTATTGGGATTGCTTCCAGTTCCCTTTGTTTAGCTAGTTTTTGGTTTTTCCTTCTCCCTTGTTTCTGCAATGGTTCATCCCAACCATCTTCCTCCATTGGTTCACGCTCCTCATTTGCTGTAACCTTCTTTCTTTTGCCTCCTTGCTCCACCACCTGAAAGTTTTCCTTAATCTCTCCAAGTGGGATTCTTTTGATCCTATGAAAACCTTTTTGTTGCTTTCGTTTGTCTTCCAACTTCAAAGATAATACCTGGACCATTTTTTCCTAGTTTTCCCCTATATGTTTTCCCTGTAAACTCTTCTCGTTTGCTGGTTTTTTCATTGTTTCTTTTCCAACTTCAGCTAATTGCATTTCTAGATCCATATGACCTTCTTCTTCCCTTATCATGTCCTCCTCCACCTGTATTTGCCTTCCTTCTTCTCTATCCTGATTTTCCTTTCTCTCCTCATTTATCCTTGATCCCTTATCTATCCCTTCCTTGTTAATTGTTACTATTTCCTTCCCTATGTTTTCTATTTTCCTGCTTGTTTCCTCTTTTCTCTCCCCTGCCCTTCCCGCCCCTCTTCTCTTGACCTATTCAACTCCTTTTGTTCCATTCTCTCCACTACCCCATTACTCTTATTTCCCTTATTGAGTCCCCCTTTTGATGTTTGGGATTGACCCTTAAGTATCAGATATTTTCCATGCTCGTCCCTGAGTGGTGACATCATTATATTCCCTGCTCTCATCCATGGCCCAAATTGGGCTTCTCTGTGAGTTTGATTGGAGCTCATTTCAAGTCTGCAGTTCTTATCTCCATGTCCTATAATTCCACACTTGTAGCAGAAGTCTGGGCACCTTTCGTACTTAAATTCTATCCAGACCATCTCTCCATTAAGCTTTACCGCGGTCCCTCTAACAAGTGACTGTAGTAAATCTATTTCAGCATATATCTTCATATGTCTCCTCTCCTTTCCACCCTTGGTGGTAAGAGGACTTCTTTTACCTTTCTAAACACTTCCCCTATCTTTTTCCCTGCTACATTACTCATCCAATGAATAGGCAGATTCTAGATTTGAATCCAGAGACAAGAAAACCTAAAGCACTCAACATTTTTTTCAAAGCCTGTACACCATTCTTTAGTTACTAGAACGATTATCTAAGATACAGGGACCTCCAACCAAAACCTTTTCCTGTTCCTCTTCCCTATCAAACTGAAATTGAAACACGTTTGGGCCTATCTCAGTAACTCTTAAGTTTCTGGGATAACCCCAAACGTGGTTGGCGAAGTTCTTCACCCTAGTGAAATTGGCTATCTTTTCTCCCATAATTCTTCCTACCAAGCTTCCTTTACAATCCTGAACACTTTGTTCCACATCTTGACTACTCGGATCTATTCCAACTACGTCCTTCTCTGACAGATCAAATCTTTGTAAGGCGTTTGCTAGAGCTTCCTCCATCTTCCCCAAAACCATGCAGTGTTCCCAGTACTATCTCAAGATGGACAAGAGACCTTTTGACTAGGTTCCAGGAGTTCCATAGTTCAGGATTCTGTGCACATGAGCTTACTTCTACTCCTTGACAGGTGGAGACCCAAAAGAAAGAACAGGAAAATGATGAAAAGAAAAAGAAAGAAAGAGCTACTGAGACAATATTAAACTGGAGCTTCTACATAATATACTATCTTCATCAATGATCCCAGCATTGATCTGATCAAGGATCCCCCAAATTTTGGACTAGAGTAATTTTACATTCTGTGTTCTCGAATTTTGAAAAAAGTTTCAAAAATTGGGCGGGAGATTGGTAAGAGAAGTGAAAAAGTGGAACGGAATTTTTTTTGCTCCTAAACCGAGGAGGGAAGCTCTCAATTTTAGAGAGAGAAGCTCTCACTTTTGGAGAGAGACACTAATCGTACACTCGATAAACCTAGAAAAGTTGCAGAAGATGCTTCGTGGTTCTTGCGTGGAAGTTTTCAAAATTGTAATTTAACCCCTCAATTTTTACATAATTCCACTTTGGCCCAAAGCCTAGAAAATTGAATCATTTTTCTCCCTTTTAAGTTTTAATCCTCTTTGGCATATTTTAAGTATGATTTTGAGCAAATTATTTCTGAATTTTAGGAGGAAATTAACGCTTAATAATTTTTGATAGATTTAATGTCTTGATTGGGTTTTAGTAAAAGGGTTAAGATTTGGGTAATGTTAGTATGTTTGGGTTTTTGGAAAGTGGGTTTTAGTTATTTTGATTGGGTTATGATTTGGGTTTAAGACTCAAAACTCATGCATTTTGGTTGGGTTGGTTTGTTCAAAAATAATAGGTTGGCCCGCAATTTTTCCTTGGATTTTCGATGGGCTTGGGAGGTTGTTGGCCCAATCAAAACGAAAAAAAAAATATGAAAGATGGCCCAATGCCATTTTCTGGTCAAACCAGAAAATGTTTCTTTGCAATCTAGTCCCCGATCTTCCAAGTATTTTTTTTGTGATCCTACAAACATTGGATTATTTTCAACTAGATTCCTAATTTAATTACAATTTGGTCCTTAAACTTTATTTTATTCAATCTTGACTCCTAATCTTTATAATAATTATAATTTTACCCTAAAAATTTCTTAATTTTTACAATTAGGTCCCTAATAATTTTGATTTCTTAAGTATAATTTGTCTATCGTTTTTAATTGTTAATTTAATTATACTTCATTTAAATGCTTTTAATTGGTAGATTTCATGGTTATTTCCACTTCTTTATAATTTATTTGTTAATTAAATTGGTGTCTTGACTATTTTGTTGATTTTGGAGTATAAATAGGACAGATCCAACCTCATTTAACTACTACTTCAAGAGATGTACCTTCTTTTATTATTTTATATCCTCTTATGTGCTCCTATGTATTTTTTAAGTGTAATTGCTTGTTTTGAGTGCTTTTTCTTGTAATTATTCATTTTAAGTTTCAATTATTCTCTTTAATTTTGATGATTATTTGAGAAGTATTTAAATGCCAAATTGTAATAGATAGATGCTCAAGCAATTGCATTGCAGGTTAAAACCATGTATGCATAGCAGCTCGAAAACAAAACAAGAGGATATGAACCAGCATCATCAGGAGGTAGCCTAATCTTTCCAAGGATGATTATATCTGATTTTGATGTTCATCTTCTATTTGCATGTGAACCACGTTTTTGTAGGTTGAAAAGTTGCACAAGTATCAATGCTTGCTTTAAAAGGAAGAGCAACTGCTTTTTGCCTAGTCCTAATATTTACTAAATACTTCAGCAATAATAGATGCTGGCACAAGCTGGCTGCTGATACCTTTATTATTTATATCAGATGATGGGTGATTCGAGATTTTTTTTTCTTTTTTAATATACCCATGAAAGGGATTCTTGGAAAATTGGTAGTCGGATAGTCTAAATAGTTAATAAAATTTATGAAGGATAAGAAGCATGGATGTAAGCAAGGCATCAATACTGGGCATGACTTGTTCCGAGAATACATCAACTGTTTTCTCTGCCTCTTATCTGTATAAGCCCATAAACTTATTTAAAAATATTATTGTCAAAGCGGAAAACCGATCAGAAGCTGTCAGAAAAGTGGTTAGAAGCTTCAGATTTGTGAAAAGAGAAGAATTTTAATATTTTGTGAAAAGAGAAGAATTTTAATATTTTATTGTCAAAGTGGAAAACCAATCAGAAGCTGTCAGAAAAGTGGTTAGAAGCTTCAGATTTGTGGACCTAAAACTTATGAAGGGATAAGGAGCATGGATGTAGGCAAGGTATCAACACTGAGGTATGACTTTGTTAAGATAATTCATCAAATGTTTTCTCTGCCTCCTATCTGTACAAACCCATGTACTGATTTTTAAGTTTTAGTTTTAAGAAAGGAGAAGATTTTAATATTTCATTTCAAAGTGGAAAATCTATCAGAAGCTGGCAGTAAAGTTGCTAGAAGCTTCAGATCTGTGATCCTTTCTCTCCCTCTTTGTGCTGTTTCCAACTTTAATAGTTTGCAGTTTGATCTTCTTCCTTTTTTGTTTCTGGGTTAGACCCTGGATTTTTAAGTAATCCCTAACCCCTCTTTTCCAGTTTGAGGAATTGCTAATCACTCTAAGCTAGTGTGGTGTTGGTGTCATTCATTTGTTGCATTGTGCTAGATAAGATATGGTGATCATTTTTCATGTGTTGGATCTCAAGTTCAGTGGCACATAGATTGACCTGTTGGGAACTTATTATTAAAAAGTAAAGCATTGTTGATTCAGAGATTTTTTTTTATATAATCTCTTTCCTCTTACGATGGCAGTAGTTGTCTGACTCATTCCTTCTGTTGTACTAATGACTCTATTTACTTAGTGTACTCGTCTTTCCTGTGTATCTTCTATTAGGTTTAAGGTTTTTTTTTTTTTACCACTAACTTCATTTTGTTGATGCAGAGGAATATGGAGCCAAGTCTAGCACTTGATATTGATATTGAAGATATCCTAATCATGATTATCTGTGTAACTTGAAGTTCTATAGTCTATAGGATCCAGTTCTGTCTTTTATTACCTTTGGCCATTCTTCTCTGAAAAATTGGTGTTGGACTACAGTTGTTCGTGTAATATAAATGCTGAAATTGTTAAAATGTGAGTTTGCTTGACCACTTACCATGAAAACATTAGTAGCTTTTGGTTTTGGAAGTGAGATGTGTAATTTCAGATGGATGATATCACTCCTTTGAAGTTGTGTTATGACTCCAGAGAGACTTTAGCCCTTTTTTAATGATTGGCAGGAGACAGAGCTAGAAGGGAAAAGTTGAGGGTCTTGACTTGTGTCTCTTAGCATTTATAGCCCTAAGTCTCAATAACAAGTTTAGGCTGATCATTTGTTGCACATATAAACCTTCTACTGTTGGAAATTTTTCTCTGGTGCACAAAATGAAAGTTTTGTACCCTTAATGAGTTACCTGCCATTTCATTTACTATAACTGTACAATAGCACCTGATATTTTTGTTTTTGAATTGCCGTTACTGCAGAAAGACATTTCTTTGTAAAATTCAGGGAACCCTTGAGCATCATAACTGTATTTTGATGACTGTCTCTTCAATTCTAGTATTTTTTAAACAAATGTCGAAAGCTAAGACATGATCAAGCATTTAAGCATCCAGAGCAGTGTAAAGAATACTAAAACAGACATTGGATAAGTCAGTGTTAAATCTTCGCCATTTATGTCAACCATTAGTCATGTGCCTTCATGTTGTCTCTGGCTAGTTTAACTAATACTGAACGTGGAAGGATATCTATTTTCAGGAAATCATGATTCATTCTTGTTGAAGTTCATTTTCTTGCCGAAAAGAAGTTAAACATTTTGGATTTGGGTGCATTCTTCCTATTTCTAGTTCACTTAACGTTCAAACAGATCCCAAAAAAGGTAAACTGGGAGAAATTCATACCTGAAGGTTCAGAACAATGGGTTTTGCAGAACATAGTGGCTGAGCTGTTCAATGAACGACCAATATGGGTAAAAGATTCATTGTCTGAGCACTTGCTTGACAAAGGTCTGGAATTTGGAGAAAACATGCTCAAAAGGTGGTTTTTGTTATCTTATCCTGTCATTTATATGACATCGAAATTGAGTCTTTGAACTAAACAGTGAATTTCATGTAAATATTTCTTTTGGCTCTTGATGTTGGTCCATTGTCTTTCAGGCTTCTGTTCAGAGCGGCTTATTACTTTTCAACTGGGCCATTTTGCAGATTCTGGATCAGAAAAGGATATGATCCTCGCAAAGATCCCGAGTCTCGCATGTGAGGGTCCCATAAGAAAACTCATACTTTTTTATTCCTCATGAGTTTGGCATTTTCTTTCCTTCTTTTACTTAGCCTTTTATTTAAGCTGATTGTGGCCATTGCCAATACTATGCTGTCTTTTGTGATTAAAATTCATTGGTACATTTGCTTCAGGATGATTTAGACCATCTCCCAAGTCTCTTAACATCTCGTGATTTAGTTCTTTTTATGTATCAATTTGATGCTTTTAATCCATCTTTCAGGGCTAATTTGGAAAAGTGCATATCAATTTTGTGGACTACTTCTCGTAGTTTACTTGCTCTAACATGGTATATACTATGGTTCTCCACTAATTCATTTAGGGGTTGATTGGTAACTAATATAAATTGGCTTACTAAGCTCTTTGAAAACTGTAGACTTTTGGTAATGATCACGTGAAGGGACATTTAAGGAACCCACTTCTCTAGGAGGTCTGTTTCCCTGGAACAGACCTCCATTACAGGTCCATTAAAGACCTTGACCCATTTTACAATAGGAGCTAAAAGTCAACTTAAACCTCAGACCAAAAGAGAAAACTTGGCATCACCCTTATCAAATACAATATAAAAATTTAGTGGTTTGTCAATAGCATAATAACGAATTCATTTAATTAATTGAACTTAAACTAGTTATTGTAGCTCAAGTAATTTATGTCAGTAGCGTAAGAATGAATTTATTTAACGGTTGAAGAAGCTTTAAGAAGCTTTTGGTCATCCCATAGCAATCAAGTCTGAACGTGTCTGGCAACATTAAACTGGTTTCATAATGAAGGAGCCTTGTTAATATTGCTACATGGTCATATTTGCTCCCAGATCAACAATGAAATTTTTGAGCCAATTCATTTACAGATTTTGTTTCTTTGTGCTTTTCTCTTCTATGGAAATTAATTTATTGCCTTCTGCCCTACAGCTTCACAAGTCTCGCTCCATCCTCTGTTGCATGACTCTCCTGGAACATTTATTTATCAAGGGCAGTAGTTGGGATCTGGTCTACTAAATGCAAAAGTCAAGAACAGCTGCTTATGGAAGTCAAGGACAGCCTGCTAGCAAAAGTAAAAGTCAAGAACAGCTGCTTATGGAAGTCATGGGCAGCAACTGATTATGAGATCTGATCTGCTAGCAAAAGACAAGAACAGCTGCTTATGGGATCTAGTCTACTAATTGCACTAATCAAGGAGAGCTGATTATGGTCTACTATATTAGATGTATATTAGCATATATGTAATTAATACATTAGGGAGGTAGATATTCTGACGGAGGAGAGAAGGTACAGAGTTTTTCTATTTAAATGGAAAAGATGCACAAAAGAGGCATTCGGTCTTTGATCTAGAAAACTTGTCATGGTATCAGAGCCAGTTATTTGAATTTCTCAGCCTTTCCAAACTTTCTGAGTTGTTATCCTTCTTGGGTTGATTATTTTGATCAATCATTTGGTTTCAAGATATCCTTTTGGGTCAATCATATTGTGGTTGGCAGCTTTTCTTGTAATTCAGATCTTTGTTTTTTTTGAAAGAATGTCTATGGAAAACTCTTTGGGAAAAATACATACAGAATCTTTGTCCATCAAGTTCACTGGAAAAAATTATGCGGCATGGGAATTTCAATTTAGGATGTTTCTAAAAGGCAAAGAGCTTTGGAGTCATATTGACGGGTCTTCTACAGCACCTAGAGATGGAAAGGAAATTAGTCAATGGGAGGCAAAGGATGCTAGAATTATTTCTTGGATTCTAGCATCTATTGAAGCTCATATGGTGAACAATTTACGCTCCTTTAATACAGCAAAGGAGATGTGGGATCATTTGAAGCGTGTATATCATCAAGATAATACAGCAAGAAGATTTCAGCTTGAATTGGAAATTAGTACATGTAGCCAAGGTAATCTCTCTATTGAGCAGTATTATTCTGGATTTCTTAATTTATGGAGTGAATACTCTGGTATAATCTATTCTAAGGTACCAAGCGAAGCCTTAGGCGGTATTCAAGCGGTTCACGAAGATAGTAAGCGTGACCAGTTTCTAATGAAACTGAGGCCTGAATTTGAGGCGATTAGAGCTGGATTGTTAAATAGAAACCCAGTTCCTTCTTTAGACGTATGTCTTGGTGACTTGTTGCGAGAAGAACAGAGAATGGCTACACAAACTATCATAGGTACATCAAAGGAGATATCTGAAGTTGTCAATATTGCCTATGCTGCTCAAGGGAAGAATCGCGGAAAGGGACAAGTACAGTGCTATAGTTGCAAGGAACTTGGGCATATTGCACGCAATTGTGGAAAGAAATTTTGCAATTATTGTAAGCAAACTGGACACATTATCAAGGACTGTCCTACACGCCCTGAGAATCGAAGAGTCCAAGCCTTTCAAGGTGCTGTCCAAGACTCTAACACTATTGGTTCTACATCCACAGCCACAACACTTACTCCAGAAATGGTTCAACAAATGATTCTTTCAGCATTTTCTACTCTTGGACTTCAAGGTCAAGGTAAAATTGTTTCTACTCCTTGGTTAGTTGATTCTGGAGCATCAAATCATATGACTGGTTCATCTGCATCACTACATAATCTACGGCAATATACTGGTACACAAAATATTCAGATTGCTAACGGCAGTAATCTTCCAATTACAGCCATTGGTGATATTGGACCTTCTTTTCGTCATGTATTTGTCTCTCCAGGGTTGTCTACTAGTTTGATTTCTGTTGGTCAGATGGTGGATAATAACTGTGATGTACGGTTCTCTCGTGATGGTTGTCTTGTGCAGGACCAGGTGTCGGGGAAGGTGATCGCGAAGGGGCCTAAAGTGGGCAGACTATTTCCTTTGCAATTTTCAGTTCCAAGTAGTTTGTCTTTGGCTTCTATGGTTGTTGACAATAAAGTTGAAGTATGGCATCAACGATTGGGTCATCCAAATAATGTCATTTTATCTCATTTAATAAAGCATGATTTTCTGGGGAGCAAGGATCAGTGTTTTAATCATAAATTGTCTTTTGATTGTTCTACTTGTAGACTAGGGAAAAGTAAAATATTACCTTTTCCTAGTCATGGTGGTCATGCTAATACAAGTTTTGAGATCATTCATAGTGATGTTTGGGGTATTACTCCTGTTGTTTCACATGCACAATATAAATATTTTGTGACATTCATTGATGACTATAGTCGTTTCACATGGGTATATTTTTTGCGTACTAAAGCTGAAGTATTTGCTGTTTTTAAGAAATTTGTAGCTTATGTAGAAACACAATTTTCTACTTGCATTAAAGTTTTACGCTCTGACAATGGCGGGGAATATATGTCACATGCCTTTCAAGCATTTTTGCAACAGAGAGGTATTTTATCTCAACGATCATGTCCTTATACCCCTCAACAGAATGGGGTGGCTGAACGTAAGCATCGCCATTTGTTGGATATGGTACGAACCTTACTTTTGCAGTCTTCGGTTCCATCTAAATTTTGGGTGGAAGCTTTATCCACTGCAGTTTATTTAATCAATCGTCTACCTTCTCAACAATTGAATTTTGATTCTCCTTATTATCGTCTTTTTGGTGTACATCCTGATTATGGCAATCTACACACATTCGGATGTGTTTGCTTTGTTCACTTACCTCCTCATGAGCGTCACAAACTTACAGCTCAATCTGTAAAATGTGCTTTCATGGGTTATAGTACAACTCATAAAGGATTTTTGTGTTATGATGCTATTGCTAATCATCTACACATTTCTAGAAATGTGATTTTCTTTGAAAATGAGCACTACTTTCCATACCATGGTTCCTCGTCTGAAGGTGTTGTTCTTCCTAACTTTGATGATATTGCTCCACCAGTTGATCGATTTAAACCTGGGATTGTTTATCAGAGACGACAGGCTTCTTCATCACAACCTCTTCTTGACACTAATCCAGTCCTTGCTCCAACCACTCTTCGAAGGTCCCTACGTCTTAGTCGTCCGCCTGATCGGTATGGTTTTTCTGCCACTATAACTGACACTACAGTTCCTACATCCTATTTACAGGCAGCTAAACAAGCATGTTGGGTGAAAGCTATGAATGAGGAACTTCAAGCTCTTCAGGAGAATCATACTTGGGATCTTGTTCCTTGTCCCGATGGTGTTAAACCCATTGGTTGTAAATGGGTATTTTCTGTTAAATTGAGATCTGATGGCTCACTTGAAAGGTATAAGGCACGATTAGTAGCTCTTGGTAATCGGCAAAAGTATGGAGTACATTATGAGGAGACCTTTGCTCCTGTGGCAAAGATGACAACAGTTAGACTTGTTCTAGCTATTGCTGCTTCTACAGGCTGGTCATTGCGACAGATGGATGTAAAGAATGCCTTTTTACATGGCGATCTTCAAGAAGATATTTATATGACTCCACCATCAGGGTTATTTTTTACATCTTCTTCTGATGTTTGTAAGCTAAAACGTTCACTCTATGGCTTAAAACAAGCTCCACGGGCTTGGTTTGATAAGTTCCGTTCTACCCTTATTAGCTTCTCATTTGTTCAGAGCCAGTATGACTCCTCTTTGTTTCTTCGCAAGACTGATAAGGGACTGGTTTTACTTCTGGTTTATGTTGATGATATTGTTATCACAGGAAATGACTCTGCATTAATCTCTCAACTTCAAGAGCATCTTCAACGTTCTTTTCATATGAAAGATTTAGGTCCTCTACAATATTTTTTGGGCCTAGAAGTGCACTCTACCTCAGCTGGTATTTTCTTACATCAACATAAATACATCCAGGAATTAATTGCTTTGGCAGGTCTTCAAGATGGTCGGTCTGTTGATACTCCCTTGGAAGTAAATGTTAAATATCGCCGTGATGAGGGTGATTTTCTCTCAGATCCCTCTCTCTATCGGCAATTGGTGGGAAGTCTTAACTATTTAACTATTACTCGGCCTGATATTTCATTTGCTGTTCAACAAGTTAGTCAATTTATGCAGACGCCTAGGCATCTCCATCTAGCTGCTGTTCGTCGCATTATTCGCTATTTACTAGGCACTTCCTCTCGTGGTCTTTTCTTCTCCAAAAATTCTCCTATTCATTTGGTAGCCTATAGCGACGCTGACTGGGCAGGGTGTTCAGATACTAGACGATCAATTACTGGTTGGTGCATGTTTCTTGGAAATTCTCTTATTTCTTGGAAAAGCAAAAAGCAAGATAGGGTGTCTAAATCCTCTACTGAGTCAGAGTATCGTGCTATGTCCTCTGGATGTTCTGAGATCATTTGGCTTCGAGGCCTCTTAGGTGAGCTTGGGTTTCCCCAACTTGCACCTACTCCCCTTCATGCCGATAATACTAGCGCTATTCACATTGCTGCTAATCCTGTATTCCATGAGCGTACAAAACATATTGAAGTTGATTGTCACTCTATCCGTGAAGCATATGATGATCATGTTATTTCTCTTCCTCATATTACCACTGATCTCCAAACTGCTGATATATTTACTAAAGCTCTCTCCCGTCATAGACACAATTTTCTGGTTGACAAATTGATGCTTTTTGATCCACCAGCATCAATTTGAGGGGGGATATCAAGGGCAGTAGTTGGGATCTGGTCTACTAAATGCAAAAGTCAAGAACAGCTGCTTATGGAAGTCAAGGACAGCCTGCTAGCAAAAGTAAAAGTCAAGAACAGCTGCTTATGGAAGTCATGGGCAGCAACTGATTATGAGATCTGATCTGCTAGCAAAAGACAAGAACAGCTGCTTATGGGATCTAGTCTACTAATTGCACTAATCAAGGAGAGCTGATTATGGTCTACTATATTAGATGTATATTAGCATATATGTAATTAATACATTAGGGAGGTAGATATTCTGACGGAGGAGAGAAGGTACAGAGTTTTTCTATTTAAATGGAAAAGATGCACAAAAGAGGCATTCGGTCTTTGATCTAGAAAACTTGTCATTATTTTGGTTCTGAGCAGCTTTGTTAATTTTTGCTCCGTTTAATCTTTTTTATTCTTTGTATTGTTGAATTTGGGACCTTTCAAAGGAAGCCGCTGTCTTTTAGGCTCTTCTGTGCCAAATTTTTCTTCTTACCATTTTTGAACTCCCAAACCTTGTCTTGTCTTGTAAGAAGGAGCAAGGCTTGATATTCTTCAGTCATAAGGTTGTCTTTTATTGCTGTATTTATCAAAAGTAGAATGCAGGGATGGTCCTTCAGTACTTGCTTGGGAGATTTTACTTAAACAGTAAATGCTGTGAAAGAAAAGTATTAACTTTACCTGCTTTTGCAAGCTGGAAAGTGAACTGCTGATTTTTCCTATGGATAAGCTAGTTATGGAACTTCTTATTATTTCCTTTTTCTTTTCTTTGTTTTCTTGCCCCCATAGAGTTGTTTCGTTTCTTTAATAGTAGAAAAGTTGCTGCTTTTCCATCAATTATTACACATTTTCTTTTAATAGGATCTTTCTAATGACATTGAGAAATTTTGGTGTTGTCATTTTAATTACTCTTGGACATTCTATGCATTCATCTTCATCACCAATAGATATGCTTCTGGGACATTGGAAATGTCTTATTGCTATTTAAATACTGCCTACTCATTGACCAATGGATTGTGATGTACTTGTGAACAGATATCAAACAATGGACTTCCGTGTGCCAGTACCATTAAGAAGCTACTGTGAGGCTAATTCAGCATCAAGGTTAGTGCTTTGAGAATTAATATCTTTGGTGAAATGCATTCATAAAATTTGTTGGCTTGGTCAATTTTTTCTGTTTTTTGTTTTGGTAATTCTGTCAGTTATTTTCATCTAAAAATCCCAAATTCGTTTTTGCCCATTAAGGAGACAGATAGCTGTCATCATTGCTTTTTCCTTTATCTCAGACAAATGTTCATCTCAATGGTGATTTCCATCTGGCTTGAAACAAAAGAGATGGAGGTTATTCTGTTGGGACTCATTTTATGTTAATTTAGTCAATGTCTTATTGCCTTTATTATAGATTACTATTTTCAAATTTGTCTTAAGGAACTTAACGATCATTATAAAATAGTTTACAAACAATGTCTCACTGAATCTATTCAAAGGATAGAATATAAGTAGAACAGCTATTTTATAAGATTTATAACAGTGTTTGACTATTTGATTTTTTGAACAAGTCTGGAGACATTTATTTTTATCTACAAAAGTTTCTTTTGCTTCCTCTTCCTTTTATTTTATCTAGTAAAGTTTCTTTTTATTTTTAGACATTTATTTTTATTTACAAAAGTTTCTTTTGAGGCTAGTTTGCAAGAAAAAAGACGTCATGAAAGGGTGACGCTCCCATTTACAATCATGAGAAGATCCTAGCAGTAAAACGTAATCCATTGGTGAATCATCCAAATTGGTCTCTTTGTACACAACTTATATTGAAGGATCTATACTGTAGATGCTATATTGGGAGGTTATATGTTAACATTGGTAGGATAAGCATCAGCACTTGGCACAGATGCCACTCATTGAAATATATAGCACTGCCAAGATGGAAGGTTAATATCAAATACGGTACAATCATGAGGCAACAAGGAAACCAAGTTCAAAACATTTGAAGTTGCCGATAATAACCTTAAAAAAGCTCAGGGGATGTGGCTTGATAGCTTGTGAGTTATACTGGAAGCAAAAGAAGTCTAAGCTGGATGAACGAGATGCTAGGAATTCAGAGTCATTAACTCCTGAGTTGCATATCTGAACCTTTTGTTCTCGGTAGTTGGCAAGGAGCAGACCAAGTTATGAGGCACATGGAAACAAACTTGTGAGGTTGAAAGCAGTTTAAAGGATGAGAGCTCTTAAGCATTTATATTTGATTCATGGCCAAATTTACATTGTATGAAGGTTAAAAGATCAAAAACTTGACGTTTGATTCTGTATTGAGTTGCTTAGTTGTTACCGTTGTCCTTCTTTTCTTCTTTCCTCTCACTTTTTTGCTTTAGAATATATGTTGTGTAATGAGAAGACAGTCAATAAGACTTCAGTAGCCATTTTTAATGTTTCAAGAGACTATGATGCAGAAAGCTTGAAAATCCCTTATTTACTTATTTATGTTTTGCTGTTGTTAGTTTTTATTATCCAACAAGCTAACTAATAATTTTCTGATACCACTTCATGCAGACTGAAGCATCGCTGGGAGGATATATGTGCCTTTCGAGCTTTCCCATATAAATGCCAAACTTCACTGCAGCTCTTTGAACTTGCTGATGACTACATTCAAGAAGAAATAAGAAAACCGTCAAATGTAGAAGCATTCAGTGTATGTTGTACTAACTTGCAAATCAGAATTTATTAGTGTGTTATCATCATTTTTGTACTTATCTGGAGTCTAGAGTGGTTTCTTTTAGGATTGTTTTGATGCTATTGGACATCATCGAAACTGTTTGTCATGCCAAAGGTCTAGACTACCTTTGTGAGTTCTGGCACTGTTAAATGATCATCCATTCCAGCACTGTACAAATTTTGTAGGATTAAAGAATACATTGTCTTATGTTATGCTAAAACTTGGGTATTGACTGCTGCTGATACGTTGTATTGCACGTCCAATTCCATTCCTTGAAGTCTTTGTCATTCTTTGTTTATGCCAAAAAGCTGTTAAGGTTAGAAAATAAACTTTTATCAGCACCTGTTTTAAACTTTTTAATTCTCATGAAATGATAAATGTTAACACTTCATATCTTGTCATTGGAAAGATTATAAAATAAACTTTTATCAGCACTTGTTTTCAATTTTAATTTTCATGAGATGATAAATGCTGAAACTGATAAGTGTAACATCTTGTTGCTTATCATAGAAGGGGTTTTCTTGTGAATGTTTAAATAAGTCACTAATTAATGTGATATCTTCATTTTGAAGCATAATTTGTAATTCTTTTGCCGCTAAACTGTTTCAGTGATGTTAGAAAGGAGGTTCAACATATTTAAAAGGGAAGCATTTTCACTTTAGGCCTCGTCAACATGATTTCCCGGTTTATGACTCTCTGGCATTCTCGGTAATGATTTTCTGGTTTTGCTGGATGTAGGAGAATTTGGTCAAACTTTTCCTGGAATTTAAATTTAGAATCAGAAAAAATAGGCTAAGAAAGATTTTTTTTTTGAGGATTTACGTCATTTGTTGGGTAAAGATGAATCACTTGGCAGGATAAATGAGAATTTGAGCTTTATTTTCTGGTAGAAGACAATAAGATTAAACATTTATTGGCTCGATCATGGCCTATCTTCCTGTGGAAGAGAGAGAATTTAGCTTTATAGATCATGAGGTTCTGGAAATTACTATATGTTGAAACTCCGTATCAATAAGAAAACCAAGGAAATACCCTATATTCCTGTACACATCTTCATTTCATTATGCAAGGTAGTGAAACTAGAAGCAAATGGGTACTTCTAATGGTACTTTGATTATTCATATTTTGATGTGAAATCATCTTTTTGTCTGGCTGCTTATTTGTAATGCTTTTTTGACTTGTGCTGGACTCCCTGCATCTGTATGGTTGTGCTACAGTGTATCAATATTTTTCTCATCGATAAACTTGTACATATAGCTTGATTTCTTTGGCTGGTTTTTCAAATGCATCTTTACCAATGTTCTGCTTGTTACCGATATTTTGATTGCATATATGATGAAAATCTCTGTAAAAGGCGACTTTTTAATCTGTACAACAATTTTAATCTGAATCTGATACAGAAGGCAACAGGATGGTTCTCAGCCAATGTGCTTGAAACCTTGAGACACCGGGTTGCTGTCAGGTTTCTGTCAGTGTATCCCAATGCTGGTGCAGAGGCAATCCTGAAATCTGAATGTGACCTCTTTGAAAAGTCAAAAAAGATGCGTCTGTATCCAAAGAACTTGAAAGCAAATGAGGAAAGGCAGCAAGACAATAGAGGTCATATTAATTTCTACATCTATGCCACTTTCAGTGTAAATGAAATTGTTTAATAGTAGACTTACTATTTTCTCATAACTTGAAATGTATTTCTCAAAGTAAATGTGAATCCTATTGGCTATTTTACTTTGTCTTTACTTCCCTTCAAATACTTGTAAAAGTGATTTGCATATATAATCTTGACAAGCTTTTCCTACGACTCAAAAGATTATTGTATTTTTAGCTTCACATTTTACTTGCAATCTGGTCTTGATGGAAATTTTGTCTTGCATTGCTTGAAAAATTGGAAGCTATAAAACAACCTTTTTCTGAAGTGTCACTAGGATTTCGTTTTCATTGCAGAAGTGGTTGAAAATCAAGAAAAGGAACCAAATGATGAAGTAGATTATGAAGAAGATGAGGTGAATAACATTGACGATGACATTGATGAAGAGGATTTTGATGCATATGAAGCGATAGACCCGGTAAATGTCAATTGATTAATGTTTCAGCTCTCTTTAATGGTTGAAATTATTCAAGTTCCTTTTTTTTAACCAACTTTTCATGATCTGCTTATCTTTCCCATGTTCTATTTTTGTTCAGATTGGGTTCCAGGAAGGGGATTTTTCTCCACAACAGGATTCCTGTATCCTTGTGAAATTGAGTTTATATTCTTTTTGTTGACACATTAGAATTAGGATAGACCTTTTTTACACTCACTGAATGATGGAAATGAAAGAGGTTATGGTGAAACATCTGAGCAGCTTTCCCCACTTCTGAAAGCAGATCCTGGATAAAAGCTTTACTTCATTTTATACTTTCCTGTTGGAAAGGAAAACAAAGAACTGATAGATCCTTGTGATAATTGACTTTATTCTCTTTCTGTAGACCCTTTTTACAATTGGTACATGGTTAAAAAGAGAAAGAGATAAGGGAGTCAGATTTCCTTACTTCTGAAAGCTGATCCTGGATAAAAACTTTATTTTGTACTTAGTGTCTCTTTTCACCCTCCTGTTGTCGGAAAGAAAAACAAAGAAATGAGAGGTCCAATGGTATGTTGGTTTGACATATAAGCTCTACCATCAAGGATCTCATGTCTTGTGTATGTTGAGATATCCAGTTTAAGAATGGAGGCCGTTTTGAACCTCCAGCTAGACCATTGACCCATTTTTTTTTTTTTTCAATGCACGTCTTATGCTTTCCTGCTGTCTTTCTGCAAGGAAAAACTCCATCTAGGGTGATCCTGGACTCAATTACCAACCAGTGATAATGTTGCAGAAGCAGAAACTTCCATAGCATACTAATAACCATGTCTTGTACTTTAAAGGGGACTAAACAAGCATGCCTTTGGGAAAAAGCGCTGCAGCTAGTGAAGGATTATGGATGATACTTTGAGCCTTTAGTGGTGCTTAGTTTGTTTTTAGTTTGTCTCAAGTGCATTTTTTTATGCCTCACATGTTTCTTCTCCTTTCCTTTATGTCCTGCTATGATCAAAACTGAAGCAGCAAGAATCTTGGTTCTTATTTAGCATATGAGCATAACTATATTGTTGAAGAAATTCCTCAAGTTTCAGTACACCATTGTGGGTCTGTCCTATACATTTCCAGATACAGACCATGAGAACATGTCCAGAAATTATTTGCAAGAGCTCTTTGGTAGTTTTCCATTTAATGCAGCAGGCGATAATGAAATGCCTGATGCCAATATTAGTGATGGAGAGTACGAGATATATGAACATTATAGTGATGAAAACTACTCCAATGATGATGAGTACTAGCTTTTAATTGAGTAAGTGTTTTCCTGGTGCTTTTCTGCAACTTTTGAAGATTTTTTCCCTCCACTTGTATCATGAGACGCACACTAGTTTATCGCATTTAGCTTGAGGAATACAAAGTTGCAATTTTTGTTGTGTATTTGTTGCACATAACTGGATTCTGGTCCTTAACTGGTTGTTTCATTGTTTCAAAAGTATCATGTAGATCATCTAATATCCAGTTTCTAAGTCTTGATGTTTTGATGAAACAACTTGAACAATTTCTGTGAATTTGAGAGTTCTGAATCTATTCTACCTGCTCATTGCTTTCGACTATTATTCTAGTAATATTCCCCTTTCTTCATCAAGTCTTTATTGCAGTGAGCTTTCAATGCTAGTTTTTTGAATGTATATTACTCATTATTCAATCCGTTCCAGTGTTTTGTGGCAAACTGAAAACCACTCTGGTATGCTGCAGATGCTGAGTTTGCCAATCAAGCTGAAGATGCAGCGAGAAGCCAGTGACTTTTGTAAAGCTGGAGAACTCTTTAGTTGTCCTTTCGCACTGTAGGCTCAGAAATTTAGTGTAGCTGGAGTAGGATAGCGAAATCAAATTTGTATATATACTTTTAGTTCACTTCTTCCTCTTTAGGGGTCAACAGCGAGGTATGTTGATACTCTATATAAGGTTAAAAGTTTCTTCTATATTTAAGCTATCTTGTGCATGTATTGACTTCCTTCTACAGCTGGTGAGGTGAAGATGATTGTTGAATATATCTAGATACGTGTGATATATTATACATCAATTATAGGGATTAGATAGCCTGATTATTAGCCTGATTATCCTAGTTTAATTATAGGAAGTAGATAGCTAATTATTCTAGCTTGATTTTAGGATCTTGATAGCTTGATTTTAGGATCTAGATTATTTCAATCTTGTATATATATGTCAGTTGTACTACTCACATGGGTAGTGAAGGAATGTCATCCCAAAATATCTTCCTCTCTTGCTTCTTCTCTTTCCTGGTATCAGAGCAAGTTAGAAAGAGAAATTCGTTTTCTAATCATCCTACCCGGTGATTTTCTTTAACCCAATATCATTATGTCTACATCCGATACATCTATAACATCTACATCTAAATCCACAACTCCTCTCATGGCCAATCCATCTATTACTGGTTGTACTATTATTACTACCGAAAAACTAAAAGGCAGTAACTACTCTACTTGGGCTGCTGACGTAGAGCTATGGTTTATGGGACAAGGATATAAAGATCATCTTACTACTAAACCTGATGATACTATGACTGATCCATCCAAGTGGGAGCGAATCGATGCTCAATTGTGTAGCATGCTTTGGCAGACCATTGATTCTTCACTAAAGCAAATTTTCCGTCCACATAAGACTTGCTTTAGTGTTTGGGAACAGGCCAAAGCATTATACACTAATGATATATCTCGTGTTTATGCCGTTTGTTCTGATTTGATGAGTCTCATTGCACCTCGAAAACTTGATATGCCTATGAGTTCTTACTTAGGCAGAATTCAAGGGGTCCTTTCCGATTTCAATGAGTTGCTACCCCCTGCTGCAACTCAGCAGGAACAACTCTCTCAGCGAGGTACATTTTTTATGCTTTTGGCTCTCTTTGGATTACCTGCAGAATATTCTACCATTCGTGACCAGATTCTTGCTAGCCCCACAATTCCTACTTTGTCTCAAGCTTTTTCACGGCTGTTACGGCTCCCGGATGAATCAAAATCATCTTCAGAGACTATCGTTGTTGATTCATCAGCTTTGGCATCTCAATCCAGCCAAAGAGGAGGTCGTGGACGTGGCCGTGGTCGAGGTGGTTATAATGGTAACAAAAATCGACCCTACTGTGACTATTGTAAAAAGGTTGGCCACACAGAAGATCGGTGTTGGCTCTTGCATGGACGTCCTCCCCAACAAGTGGCGAATATTGTTCAATCCGAACCTTGCGCAAGTTCAGAACCAACTCTCAAGCCTGAGTATGAAGATTTTGTGAAATGGTTTACAGCCAAACAGTCTTCCACACCTACTGCCTCAGTTGTACACACTAGTAATGTTAGCGCATGTGTCTCTCAATCTCCATCTCTTGGCCAATGGGTTTTAGATTCTGCTGCCACAGATCATATTTCTGGTAATCCACAACTTTTCTCTTCACTCCATAGTTCTACTTCTCTACCCAATATTACTCTTGCTGATGGCTCACAAACCCAAGCTAAAGGGATTGGCAAGGCTAACCCTCTACCTTCTGTGCCTCTCGATTCTGTTCTTTTTGTACCCAATTGTCCTTTTAGTTTAGTATCTGTTCGTCGTTTGTGTCGTTCTCTTAACTGCTTAGTTACATTTGATGAGGAATCTGTAATTTTACAGGATCGAGGTACAGGGCGGACGATTGGCACAGCGCGTGAGTCTCAGGGACTTTACCATCTGTCTTTACCAACACCAGTATCTTGTTCTGCAATAGATGATCCTCTGCTAATCCATAGTCGTTTGGGTCATCCAAGTTTAAATAAGTTTCGAAAGATGGTGCCATCTATTACCATGTCTTCCTTAGAGTGTGCATCATGTCAGCTTGGAAAACACACTCGTAGTCATTTTCCGAAAAGGGCTAATAGTAGAGCTGAATCTCTATTTTCTTTGGTCCATACTGATATTTGGGGACCGAGTCGTGTTATTTCTACTTTAGGTTTTCAGTATTTTGTTACTTTCATTGATGATTATTCTCGTTGTACTTGGGTGTTTCTTATGAAGAATAGATCTGAAGTGTTTTCTATTTTTCAAAGTTTTGTCTCTGAAATTCAAACACAATTTGGTGTTTCCATAAAAATCTTACGTAGTGATAATGCACATGAGTATTTCTCCACCTCTTTCAAGTCCTTTATGGAGTCTAAAGGGATCATTCATCAATCATCATGTTCTCACACCTCACAACAAAACGGGATTGCTGAAAGGAAAAATAGACATTTGGTTGAAACAGCACGTACTTTACTTCTTCATGCAAATGTTCCGTTACGTTTTTGGGGGGATGCCATTCTCACTGCATGTTATTTGATTAATCGCATGCCATCATCTGTCCTTAAAGATCAAGTTCCTTACTCTTTTGTATATCCTAATGCTCCACTATTTTCTATTTCCCCTCGTACATTTGGCTGTACATGTTTTGTACATGATTTCACTCCTGGAAAAGATAAGCTGTCTTCACGTGCTGTCAAATGTGTATTTTTGGGATACTCTCGAACACAAAAAGGGTACAAATGTTTTTCTCCTGATCTTAGACGATACATCATCTCTGCAGATGTTACGTTCTTTGAGTCTACTCCTTTCTTTCAGCCTAACAAGTCTGAGCATTCTACAATCACGGAAGATATTCCTGTTTCTACTTATTTTGTTCCTCTTACTCATGACACTGACATTAGTCAGCCTCCTAAAGAGTCCTTACCTTCACCCGCATCACCACCACCATTGCTCACTTACCAGAGACGCAATGTAGGGAATTGTCCTACTACAGTTCCAGATACTGGTGTTGGAGAATCTGCTGATGTCCCTGATGTCTCACGAACTATTCCAAGTTCGTCACCTACCACGATCTCCTCTCCAGCCAGCCCACCCATTGCTGTCCGCAAAGGTATTCGTTCTACTCGCAATCAATGTCCCAACTATACTTGTCTCAATTATCAGCGCGTGTCTTCATCCTATTATGCCTTTTTGTCCTCTTTGTCGTCCATGTCTGTTCCTAAAACTATAGGTGAGGCTATGTCCCACTCTGGGTGGCGTCAGGCAATGATAGATGAAATGGCTGCTCTTCACTCCAATTCCACTTGGGAGCTAGTCCCACTCCCACCTGGTAAATCAACTGTTGGTTGTCGTTGGATTTATACTGTTAAAGTTGGTCCGGATGGTCAAATTGATCGTCTTAAAGCTCGTCTAGTAGCTAAGGGTTATACTCAAATTTTTGGTCTGGATTATACTGACACCTTTTCTCCAGTGGCCAAGATGTCTTCTGTTCGTCTCATCTTATCTCTTTCTGCTGTTCATCATTGGCCTTTGCACCAATTAGACATCAAGAATGCATTCCTTCATGGTGCATTGCAGGAGGAAGTTTATATGGATCAACCACCTGGTTTTGTTATTTAGGGGAAGTCTAGTGGAATGGTTTGTCGACTAAAACGTGCACTCTATGGTCTCCAACAATCTCCTCGGGCCTGGTTTGGACGCTTTCGTGATGTTGTCCAAAAATATGGCATGATCCGTAGTGAGGCTGATCATTCAGTGTTTTATCGTCATTCTCCATCAAAAGGTAGCATTTATCTTGTCGTTTATGTCGATGATATTATTATCACTGGACAGGATCATGATGGAATTGCTCAGTTAAAGAACCACCTTTTTGGCCATTTCCAGACGAAAGATTTGGGCAAGCTTCGTTATTTCTTGGGTATCGAAGTTGCCCAATCCAAAGAAGGTGTTGTTATTTGCCAACGAAAATATGCATTGGACATTTTGGAGGAGGCAGGCATGTCAAATGCTAAGCCTGTCGAAACTCCAATGGATCCTAATATTAAATTATTTCCAGGACAGGGGGAGCCACTTAAGGATCCTGGAAAGTATCGTAGGCTTGTGGGACGGTTGAACTATCTTACAGTAACACGTCCTGACATATCTTTTTCTGTCTCAGTGATCAGTCAGTTTTTAGATTCCCCATGTGATACTCATTGGAATGCAGCTCTCCGCATTCTCAAATATATCAAAGGAGCACCTGGCCAAGGATTGTTGTATACTGATAAAGGAAACATGCAAGTAATTGGTTACACTGATGCAGATTGGGCAGGATCACCTATTGATCGTCGTTCTACCACAGGCTATTGTATTCTAGTTGGTGGCAACTTAATATCTTGGAAAAGTAAAAAACAAGATGTGGTTGCTAGATCCAGTGCTGAGGCTGAGTATCGAGCCATGGCTATGGCTACATGTGAGCTAATATGGCTTAAACAATTGCTCAATGAGTTGAATTTGGGGACTAGTGACCCAATGAAGTTGATTTGTGATAATCAAGCTGCACTTCACATTGCCTCCAATCCAGTCTTTCATGAGAGGACTAAGCACATTGAAGTTGATTGCCATTTTGTTAGAGAAAAATTGATCTCCAAAGTTATTGAGACGGGTTTCGTTAATTCAAGTGATCAACTTGCAGATTTTCTTACCAAGTCCCTAAGAGGTCCTCGTATAAAATATATATGTGGCAAGCTTGGTGATATGATTTGTATGCTCCAGCTTGAGGGGGAGTGTTGAATATATCTAGATACGTGTGATATATTATACATCAATTATAGGGATTAGATAGCCTGATTATTAGCCTGATTATCCTAGTTTAATTATAGGAAGTAGATAGCTAATTATTCTAGCTTGATTTTAGGATCTTGATAGCTTGATTTTAGGATCTAGATTATTTCAATCTTGTATATATATGTCAGTTGTACTACTCACATGGGTAGTGAAGGAATGTCATCCCAAAATATCTTCCTCTCTTGCTTCTTCTCTTTCAATGATGAACAGAAATTTGCTTGAATCTTCCCATCTCCATTAGATTTTCCTTCATATACTGTAAAATGTTCTTTGGAAGAAAACTGCAAGAGAAAAGAAATAAATGAGTAAATTGAAGTGACACTGAAGATTCATTGTTAACTCAGAAGTTGTTGTAACT